CTCTCCAGGAATATTAAAGCTTAATTAAAAGCCACAAGACAATAAATCAATCAATGAGCATTTGCTCCAATTAAAGGAGGTGTTGTCTCCTCCAAAGCAGGGAAGTGGGAAGTACTTGGAGATATTAAGAACTTCCTCCTCATCTCTCTTTTTTTCCTCTTCATCTCCTTGCCCACTGGCCAGGAGAAGCTGGATGGGAAGCAGCTGGACCCTGAGGTCTGGGAAACAGGGGTAGTTGCTGTGGGCTCCCTGGTGGGCAAGCTGTGCCAGCAGAAGATGTGTGAGCTGCAGGTGGGTCCTCTGCCAACCCCCCATGCTTGGCTTCTTCAGACACCCCTCCCCCATCTCCTCCAGGAGTGCCCAAAATCCCTCCCATCCCTTCTCCTTCTCTCCTGCAACCCCCTGAGCAGGTGGTGGAACGTGGGGTGGAAACCATCCTTGGAGGACTGAGAGGTGCCAAGAAGGAGGCTGAGGTGGTCATTTACCTGCTGGCCATGGGCAACATGATGCTCCCCAGAACCATCCCCACACTCCTGGACCATGCTGAGGGGGGTCCTGCCACCATCTCCAGGGCAGCTCTTTCTGCCCTGCACAGGTTCCCTGCTCAGCACATCTCCAGCAAGGTAGGAAGTGAAGCTGCTGAGGGGACTTGGGTGGCTTCCCATCCCACCCCAAACCAAAGCCACCAGGCTGCAGATGGAGCCACCAGCTTTCACCACCCTCTGGTGGCAGGTGAAACAGGCCATGAGGAGGATCTTCCACCAGAAGAGGAGGAGCTATGACAGAACGTGTCTCCTGGCTGCTGCACGAGTCCTGCTGGATAAGGAGCCCTCCCCCATGGACATCATCAACATCCTGCTGGCCACCACGGAGATGGAGACAGAGACAGCCACCTTCCTGCTGCAGAAGGTCCAGAGCAGCCTGCGTGCTGAGCACCACCCAGCAAGGTGGGTCTGGAGGGGTCAGGGACATTTCCCCACCCCAGCTCAGGCTGTTGACCCAAAGACACCTTCCAAAGGTGCCAGGACCACTGGTTGGAGCTGGGTTTGGTGCTCACCTCTTCTAGAAGGACACCCAAGTGGTTTATCCTTACCAAGCTCTGGAGAAGAACATTCCATGTCAGCTCATTTCCTTTTTTGCCTCCTACTTCTTGGGGAGAAGGAAAAGAGTTTGGAAGTTGTTGGTTCCTTCTTGGTAGGGACTTCTCTGATTTTCTCCCTGGTCCTGACATGCCCTTTTCCCCACCCTCTTGCTTCCAGGAAGATGATGAAAACCATCTTGAGAGACCCACAGATAAACAACTACCACTTCTTCTCCAAAGCTGGTGGCTCCTCTTCTTTCTCAGGACCTCTGACAGGTGACAACCAGGGAGGACACTGATGGTCCCCATCAACAGGAGGGGCTGGTAGGGGGGAAAAGCAGCTTCCAGGTGAGGCCTCAGCTTTAGAGAAACACCCCAAAAACCTCCATAGGAGGTTTCTGAGCGGGTCTCCCAGCACCAGCTGAAGTTGGTGGCCACCACTTGGTGGACATCACCTTCCTCTGGCACTCCTGCAGCAGGAGGACAGGGCTGGGCCACATACTTTGCCCAAATCCTGCTGATCTGAAGGAGAACCTTCAGCTGGAGATGACACCAGCAGCAAATGGTAGGTGGGAGTTGCCATGTTCTTCCTGGTAACTCCAGACATTTAGCTCCTTGCCTTAGGAATTTCGGATAAGCTCTTCAGAGAAGAGGGTCCCTTGGGATCAAGCCCACCAAGCTTCAGAGGGACCATAACAAGAGATGCTTGCTGAAGTATCTGCTGAAATCTTCTCCCCCTCTGCTCTCCTTTCTGACCCTCTTCAAAGTCTGGCCTTGGAGGGGCTGGGTGGAGGCAGAAGAGCCACCACCTGGATGAAGAACATCCCCCTGCCAAAATCCTTGGGATGTTGGAAGGGTGGAAGGAGAAGGTTTCCCCTCTGAAGCCTGTGGCTCTCCCAGACACCACCTCAGAGATCAGCCACCCTGGCCAGGGGTGGGACAGCTCTACAGGAGTGACCACCCAGTGCAGGGAAGAGGCTTGACAAGTTGTCACCAAAATGGTTTGGGTCAGAAGGGACCTTTGAAGACCAGCTAGTCCAGCCCCCCTGCCACAAGCAGGGACATCTTCAACCAGATCAGGTTGCTCAGAGCCCCAACCAACCTGACCATGAACGTTTCCAGGGATGGGGCATCAATATCCCCAAGGAGCCTCCAGGATCCTGGGTTTGGTTGTACCCTGGGACCTCTCCCTTCCTGAAATGGGTCTGGACAAGCTCTGAAAAGAGACCTCCCTGACCTAGTGGGACCTCAGCCTTGCACATCCCACCTGTGGGCTGGTTTCTCCTGCCAGGCTTCACCTCAAGCCCTCAGTGACTCCTTGGCAGAAGAAGAGATGCCTGGGCGTGCTGATGGACACACCTCTCTGCCTTTCAGCCACCCAGGACCTGCTCTCCACCTTCGGGCTGGACCTGCTGTTTATGGAAGGTGGCTTCCTGAGGAAGAGCATCTCTGACTTCTCCTTGCTCAGCCATGGCCAGCAGCTTCATGCAGCTCAGGTGGGATTGCTGAGGGGACGCGTCCATGGAGGGGGTGGCAGCACCAACCCAGGGTTCCCCCACTTCACCTCCCCTGCTCAGTGAGCCCCATGAAGTGGAGGCAGCTCTTTGATTTGTCCTCCTCCACCACTGATGGGAAGCCAGGCAGACCTGCTCTGGAGAAGGGAACCCTCCAAAGGAGCAGGGGGTGGGGACAGCTTGGATGTCCCATCCAGCCCACTCTATCCCTGTCCTCCTGCTTCCAAAGGTGCCCATCTAAGGGTTGGACAAGTTCAGCAACTCAACATCACGAGGTGGACTCACCAGCTTCTGCTCCCTGCATCTCACACCTCTTCACTCCTGGGTTCTAGGTCACCCTTGAAGCTCAAGGGATGGAGTCAATGCTGGGAGAAAACACCTTGGAAGGGGAAGAGGAGCCAGAGCTGATGGCTGGGATGTCTGCCATCTTCTTTGATGTCCAGATGAGGCCCATTGTCTTCTTCCAAGGCTACACAGACCTCATGGCCAAGGTCTTGTTAAGCAGTGGAGAACCCACAAGTGTGGTCAAAGGGAACCTCCTCCTGATGGACCATCACCAGGTAACAGGTGGAGGGGCTGGCCTAGCAAATGCCCTGCATGAGCCAGTGGGTTGCAGGTGTGTTCCTCACAACCTAAGAGCAAGGTTCTCTTGGGGTTGGTAGAACCTCAGGATGGCTGGTTCTTCCACGGGAGAGCTGTCCCACACAAGCAGAATTGGGATGGACAGTCCCAGCACCATCAGCTGCTTGGCCAAGAGCAGCATCTGGTGACACCAAGTTCTGCCTTCTCCACCTGCCAGGTCATCCCTCTCCAGTCTGGCCTCCAAGTGACCATCAAAGTCCAGGGTGGGCTGGGGCTTGACATCTCAGCCAACATGGACCTGGATATTTGGGAGCAGGACCTGAAAACCAGCATCAATGCAAGGTCAGTGGCTCTAGGGACACAGAGAACACTCCCCATCAAGAGGTCTTTCCACAGCCCTCTGCTCTTGTTCTGCTGGGTCCTGGTGGGCACGTTGGGTGGGGGGGTTCTGGTGGCACAGTTGGTTCCACACTCCTTTTCCATGGGCCAAACCTGCAGGGAAGATTCTCCTGGGGTTGTTGGGCGCCAGGCCATGGTGGCCATCCCAGCAGACCAGCCTCAGGTGCTTCTGCCTTGCAGGGGAAGCTTTGCCATTGATTTCCAGGCAGAACTGGATGGCCCTTTCCTCCAAGCCACCCTGAGAAGCCAGACAGAGATGGAGACCTCCATCCACTTGGACACCACACTGAGGTTCTCTGGCAGCCCTGTGCTCATGTGCCTGCAGTTGAGGCAGGAGCAGGTCCCATACAGGTTAGAAGCTCTGGGTACAGGCAGACACTGGAGAAACATCATGAGGACTTCTTGAGGAGAAGAGCAGGAGGGAATGGTTGGGACATTTCCTGAGCAGGGTGGGTCAAAACCAGTAGGGAAGGGGGTGATGGACACAAGTTCATGGTGATGGGGGTGGAAGTGCCATGGGTACAGCATCAGGAGAAGCCCTGCAGGTGCAGAGGCTGGGCTGGGAGGAGGATGGGATCCACCACCACAGCTTCATGGACCAACTTGCTGTTGCCTTGTCCTGCAGGGAAACCTTCACCCTTTCCAAGTCAGTGGGTGGGAGCTGGAACAGCAGTTCTGGGAAGGGCAGGAAGGGCACTAGGCCTGGCCAGGACTTGGCCTTGCACCAAACCAACTCCAAGGTCTGCAACCTCCTGCTGGAGGTGGGAGGATAAGGGGGAGAGGGTGAGATCTCAAGGCACCTGCCCAACTCCTCCACAACTACCTCCTGGAAAGAAAAACAAGGACCTCAGAGGAGACCCCAAGAGGAACCACTGCAGGACAACCAGGACCAACCCTTTGCTTGTGGCTCCCCACCCCAACAGCTGAGACCTCTTGCTCCTGAACTCTTCTCCTTCCTCTGGAAGGGTTTGCTGGAAACCAAACTGGTCCTTGTGGGAAAAGAACCCAAACAACAAAAAGTCTTTGCAAACCAGGAAGTTCTTCCCAGCCCAAGAAACCCTTCCAAGAACCTGGTCCCCAACCCACTGTGGTTTCTCCCCGTTTCCCAAAGCAGCCAACAAGGAGAAGGTTCCCCAGGGACCCTCCTTTCATGCCCAGTTTTGCATCTACCACATTGTCCAGGAACATTTCTTCTGGGGGGAGGTGGGGTCTAAATGACCATCTGAGACCTTCACCCTAGGATGGTCCTCAGAGAAACGAGACCAAAATGGTGCAGAACCTGTTGCTCATTATTATTGGATGTTCTTTCTGGATGAATTGAAGGTGGACCATCCAGAAAGCTCTCCCAAAAACTGGGGGAGTGAAAACACAGTTGGGGCAGAGCAGGTGAGGGAGGAGGAAATGGCAGGAGATGCTCCTCAAGTTCACAGACCAGCAGCTTCAAACCTTATCTTGAGCCAGGGAGAGGTTAGGTTGAGGTTGGAGCTGAAGAGGGTGGGGAAGAAGGTGGAGACCCAGTGGGTGCTGGGGGAGGTTGGAAGGAGGTGGGAGAACCTGAGCAGGGCCTGGCTGAAGGAAAAAGGGAAGAGACATCAGAGTTTCTGAAGCTTCTCACCATGATGTGGATCCTCAGTGGCCTCTTCAGTGTCTGCACTTGAGGTTTTTCCACAGGTTCTTCCCTCTCGGACAGGCAGGAATCACCCAAAGTCATTAAAAACCCCCTTGTAATTAAGCACCAGAAGGTTGTTAGCAAAGAGGGGATGAGAAAGGTGATTGGAGATGACCAGGAAGCCCAACCTGGGGTGATGAGGCTGGAAGGAGAGACATGACCCCTCTGGTGGCCCACAAAGCTGGTGCTGAAGCTCCCTTCAAACCATGGGCACAAGCTGCCCAGGTGTTTGGGAAGTTCTCCATCCTTTGGGTTGTGTTGTTTGATGACTGACCCACCTGCTGGGGCCAAACACAGATATTGTCATGGAGTGCAGGAGATGATGTTTGACTGCTCCTTCCTGAACCTGAGAACCCAACCCAGGGAGCTTGGGCAAACAGGACAAAGCTCTTCCTTCAGGTCACCACCCTTCAGTGTGGACATGATTCCACCCAAAGTGGAAAAGCTCAGCAGGGGGAGGTCCCACCTCCACCCCATCCTCTTCCTCCTCCACCCCATCCTCTTCCTCCTCCACCACTGAACCCAGTACCTACTGCTCCTTGCACAGATTCCAAACCCATCCATGGAGAGGTGGCTTTTTTCTCCCTGGATCTTCTCCTCTTCCTTTTTGGATCCCAAGTTTACATCTCAACAGAGAAACCTCTGGCTCCCTCTTATCTCCTGACCAGCAGCTTCTCTTCCACCCAGTGGAGCAGAAGGTGGAGATGAGGTCCCCCCAACCCTGCAGCTGGGAAGGCAACATTCCAGCCACAAGGAGAAACAGAAGCTCCCCTGGTTTTCTGCTGAACTTTGGGCTCTTTTTGGTGGCTGCTTGTGAAAAACCCCAATGAGCTTCAAGTCCACATGGAGCTCCTGCTTGGTCTTCTCCTCCCAAACTTGGGTTGTTGTCAACCACAACCACCAAACACCTCTCCAGCCTCACCAAGAAGAAGCATTTCTTCCTTCCTTGGGCTTTTTAAACCAATTCTGAGCCTGAAAATGCAGCTCTGAGGTCTCCTGGCCTGGGAGGAAGAGTCTGGGTTTCTATCTGGAGGGGGGATAAAAAATGATGGGGAAAGAGCTCTAGGGAGAGGAAAGAGGAGTGGTTGGGTTGGAAGAACCCACCTCAGCCCCCACACCCAGGTCACCTTCATCTACCACACACACACATTTCACACATCCCTCCAAAGAAAACCCAAAGAGCAAGAGATTTAGAGGTGGATTTATTTGGGGGGGTTGTTGTTGTTGACGTTCTGTTAAGAGTTCCAAAATAAAAACATTCATCAAATACAAGAGAGAACCCAACAAAAAAATCAATAAATATTAAAAGTTAAAAAGCTCTGAATCTCGTATGTACAAAACTTTACACATCCTGGGGACACTGGACAAGGTGACATCACAGGAACATCCAGGTGCACCCACCCCATCCCAGGAGGGTGATGCAGGTGGGACCAGATCCACCCTCTTCCCTTCCCCTCAACCCCTCCCAAGAGAAAAAGAGACCCCTCAAAGCCTCCCCACCTCCCCCAAGGGTGTGGGGAGATGCAGGTCCCCTCTGAGGTACAACGAGGAACCACCAGAAATGTTCCTCCAAGTCAGAAAAGTGTGTGTTCCCCCCCCATGGCCAGGGAAGCAGGGATGGGGAGGGGGCTCCAGCCAGGAATGTGGGGAGAGGGGAGGGAGCACCCACGTGTCTTCTGCCCCAGAGACACGTTTTTTTGGGGGGTGGGGAAGGTTTTTTGGTTTGATTCCATGCCTGCAGTGGGGCAGGGGGCTGAGTCAGTCCCAGACTGGTTAGGGTGGGAAGGGACCTTCAAGATCATCCAGTTCCAACCCTCCTGCATGGGCAGGGACACCTCCCACCAGCCCAGGTTGCTCCAAGCCCCATCCAACCTGCCCGTGATGCAGGTGGGACCAGATCCACCCTCTTCCCTTCCCCTCAACCCCTCCCAAGAGAAAAAGAGACCCCTCAAAGCCTCCCCACCTCCCCCAAGGGTGTGGGGAGATGCAGGTCCCCTCTGAGGTACAACGAGGAACCACCAGAAATGTTCCTCCAAGTCAGAAAAGTGTGTGTTCCCCCCCCATGGCCAGGGAAGCAGGGATGGGGAGGGGGCTCCAGCCAGGAATGTGGGGAGAGGGGAGGGAGCACCCACGTGTCTTCTGCCCCAGAGACACGTTTTTTTGGGGGGTGGGGAAGGTTTTTTGGTTTGATTCCATGCCTGCAGTGGGGCAGGGGGCTGAGTCAGTCCCAGACTGGTTAGGGTGGGAAGGGACCTTCAAGATCATCCAGTTCCAACCCTCCTGCATGGGCAGGGACACCTCCCACCAGCCCAGGTTGCTCCAAGCCCCATCCAACCTGCCCTTCAACACTGACAGGGATGGGGCAGCCACAGGAACCTGTTCCAGGGCCTCACCACCCTCAGAGTGAAGAACTGGGAGGAGGGCAAGGTAGAGCAGGCTCAGTCCCACCCTGAGCTGTCCCAGCAGCAGGAGACAGATGCTCCTTGAAGAGTAACCAAAGCATTGACCTTTGGATCTTTGGCACAACACAGAACTGGTGGCACTGCTGGGGATGGGGGGTGGATCCAAGGGATGAATCCCACCCTGGGAACAACCCCAGCATCTCCTCCATCCTTTGGTAGGGAACTAGGGTCCAGCCTCACAGGCCATCCAGGGGCAGGAGGGTGCACCAACCACCCTCTGAACATCTCTTCAGCCCTTTTGGTACCCCTGGGGAACTCCAGGGGAGCAAGAGCAGAGGGAGGGCTGCACATCAGTCCAACACTAAAACCATCAGGAATGTGCTGGGGCCTCCATTCCTTTGGATCCCAGCACACACCATCCACAAGCTCAGCCCCACCAGGCCAGCAGAGGGCTTGAAAAACGCAGGCAAACCCTCTTGACATGCCCTCACCTCAAGTTTCTTGTAGATCTGCCCTGCTATCCACAAGCACTGGAAGCTCCAGGCTCCAACAGCAGCTCAAACACCTGAAGAACTTGGCTCCTAGAGATGCTCCTGGGATGACATGGGAGTCTTCCACCCCACCAACCCTCAGCCCACCACAAGGAACCCACCTTCCCCTGCCACCACATCCCCCAAGGAGCTGGAATGCCCTCAGCTGGGGGGGTTGCAACCCCTTAAAGCATAAAAACCACAGCATCCCC